TGCAATTGGACTAAACTTTTTAGTTTTAAATTTGGTGCCTTTCAAAACAAAAATACATGGATTATGATCGTTTCACAGGAAACGGTCTGCATGGAAAAGTGCAGAACAGGTAAGAACCAGATCAGTGCTGGTAATTACCTCCATACTACCGTAGTTATTCGGTTATGAGGCGCACTCGGCTATAAGACGCACCCCCAATTCGGCAACTTCATTATTGCGTGTTTTCAAACTGAAAATATCGCTAAAATAATTGGTTATAAGGCGCATCGTTGTTTGGGGAGTAAAGATCGGTCAAGTTTATTGTAAATTCTTTCATAAACTTACAAAAAAGCGAAAAAGTCGCGTATTGATTTTAGTTTACCGTTAATTAACAAAAGCAGAATTGAAATTAGAAGATCCTCGCAGCTAAGAACACTACTGAAACTAGTAGTTGTAAGTAGGACCTGAAAAAAATTTCAGGCCCGTACGGGATTTGAACCCATGACCTCTGCGATACCGGTGCAGCGCTCTACCAATTGAGCTAACAAGCCAACTGGGAGCTGGTCAATGAATTGGGTACAAATAAACATCCGAGTGAATGAAGATTTAGATATATGAAAATTCACATATTTGCACTGCGGTGGAAAGATGAAATTAGAAGATCCTCGCAGCTAAGAACACTACTACCACTACTTTTTTCAGGTCCTACTTACAACTACTAGTTTCAGTAGTGTTCTTAGCTGCGAGGATCTTCTAATTTCATCTTTCCACCGCAGTGCAAATATGTGAATTTTTATATATCTAAATCTTCATTCACTCGGATGTTTATTTGTACCCAATTCATTGACCAGCTCCCAGTTGGCTTGTTAGCTCAATTGGTAGAGCGCTGCACCGGTATCGCAGAGGTCATGGGTTCAAATCCCGTACGGGCCTGAAATTTTTTTCAGGTCCTACTTACAACTACTAGTTTCAGTAGTGTTCTTAGCAGCGAGGATCTTCTAATTTCATCTTTCCACCGCAGTGCAAATATGTGAATTTTCATATATCTAAAAGCAGAATTGTCGCACACGCGACCACGCGCACAAACAAAAGCCTTGATTAAACAAGAGCAAAATGTCACACACATTTACAAAAGCCGAAAAATGTCACACATTAAGTCACATGAGATAAACAAAAGGCAAAAAAAAGTCACACATTTAAATACAACCTATCGGTACATATTAATTTTTAGCCTTTCCTCTCGGGAAACATGGTTTTAAAGTATAAAAACAATTCGATCAACAAAATCAGTAGTCGCAAATTTACTTCACCTGGTGAACATCACTTTGCGAAGTCTACTTTCAGCACAATCATGCCAAACACTCGCCGTCATTCTAATGATCTCAACTTCAAGTTGAAAATCGTAATTGAAGCTGAAGCTGTTAACAACAATCGAGAGATAGCGAGGGAATACGGAATTTTCGAATTAATGGTTTCGAATCAATGGTTCGGCGATCTGAAGATGACAGCCAAGCACGCTTCCATGGACCGTTACCGACCAAAAGATCCCGAACTTCATCAACTGTAGGCCGACTGGTTCAGTGATCAAAGGAGCCAAGGTAAGCAAATGCCTATTTATCTAATACATGAAAGTTCACACGGCAACCAGGTGGACAATCAGACATAGTTTGATGCTACTCTGGTTTGCAGATTTAATGAATGTAACCGAGGAAGATACAATTCATAGACCCAACGTTTCGACACTCCTGTCTAGTGCCTTCATCAGGGGTGATCTAGACGCTGTAACTAGAGGTCCTTTTATATGATCACTAATTAGCGGCCTTTTTTTTTTTTTTCTCTGACGAGGTGTAAAATGCGTCAGGAAGCAAACCGCCATCGTCACGATCTAAACCTCCTCCAAAAACATTCGTATTATCTGCTGACAAGGGTAATTGTGTTGTGGTTATGGACAAACAGCAATATCACGACAAAGCTTTGTCTCTGCTTAATGACAAGAGTACATATGCTGTCTTAAAGTCTGATCCTACCAGAAAAACTCAAGGAAAGTTAAACAAAATGTCGCTTGGTAAATTTAGTGACTCTACGTACAAAATATTATACAGTAGTGACGGCTTTTGTCCACGTTTTTATGGTTTACCTAAAATTCATAAACCGGGAATTCCTTTGAGACCAATTGTCCCTTTTGTTAATTCTCCGACTTATGCAATTTCTGGTTATCTTGCGAGAATTTTGTCGCCTGTTGTTGGGAATACTGAATACACTGTCAAAAATTCCTGCGAATTTGCGGATTTCAACCACAACGTTAAAGTTGCTCAAAACCTTCTAAAAGACTTCAGTTAATATGCATTGGCGATACACATGTTTTGAACTAAAAACATACTTTAGTACCCACTGGAGCGTATAGTGTTTTGTATTTCTACTAGAACGTTAAGGACGTAACTGCCAAAAACCAGTTACAAATAGTAACGCTCTTGATGAAAGGGAACCAGCGACTAGTTTTGCTGTTATTACAGGGTGTTACGAATTAACTTATTCTACAACAGATGAACTCTATATTCCAAGACAGGATTACTTCCATATTTCGCTGCTTCGCGCATGGTCCATAGCACAAGAGGCAAGTGACCAGTTAAAAATTGAAGTATTGACATGCCCGCATGACACTCCCGCCATCCGCAAGCGATTTTAAATTTCTGTCTCCAAAGATCAGTTCTGGCCAGGATATATTTTAAATTAACAAATAGAGAAGTTTGACTGTGCTCTGTTCTGTTATAAAGCAGTTAGGAAGCGGCTAGAGCACGAAAGAAGTGTAGGGAGAAACACGAGACGTAGTCGAGTGTTTCTTCCCACTTCCTTTCGTGCTCTAGCCGCTTCCTAAGTGCTTTTAACAGAACAGAGCAAAGTGAAGGCTTCTCTATTTGTTTTATAATAAAGAATCCGTTAAATTCCCCATGTATTACTGTCAATTTTCAAAACAAACCATTTCCAAAGCGAACAACAGTGTCGTCAGCATGCTCTATACTCTCATAGAGCACGCTACAATAAGCCAATCAGAATCCCTGTTAGAATGGTTCAAGTAATCTGATTGGCTGTACAAGACAAAAGCTGTCAAAAGTGTCAAACCATCAAAGTTAAAAAAAAATCAAAGTTCACAATCTGCGATAGTTTACAAACTAAAATAATTCGGCAGGTCGAATTTAACGCTTTTGCCTGAAGTTTTTAATTTAGAATCTTGAAGTGAAATGTTCAGTGAACTTAAGCCGAATTGTGGCTCATTAAAACACGCGGGTTTTTTTCACATGACAAGGTAGAAAACAAACTGTTCAAGGCGAGTGTTTTTTAAATGAACAACAGCCGAATTCACCGGAACATGAGGATCGCTCGGGATGACAGCGCCGCAAAACACGGCTGCAGTGACCGAAGTGACTTTCCACTCAACACATCGGAAAGGATATCAGAGCGAGCTCTTATTTTTTCACTCGAAGGGCGGCCGATGTAGTTGCTGAGGCTTGCTTCACTGTGATGACCGGAGATCGCCATGATAAGTGAGCTGCGATGGACTTCAGCATGATCATATTTGCTCAGACACCGTATTTATATTTTTCATCATTTCTGTTTTGTTCTGTTTTGTTTTTGAACTCTGAACTTTATATACTATACGAGTGTTGGCTGTGTTTGATTTTCATTACCATACGTAAGCTTGCAATCTAACTGAGCGTGAAAATCTTTAAAACTCGGAATGTCTATTTTGTTTTTTCTTTGAGGATTTTCGTATCTGCCCACGTTTTAATAACGTAAATAACGGCGCCTGGTATGTTTACAAACCTTTCTTTGGTTCTTCTGTTACTACTTGCCGGCTCGCTTGTTCCGAAATTTCACTTTCAATTATCGGAAAAAGCTAAAAAAGAAGTCCCGGAAAAGGTCGAACATAGTACAATTTGGCAGATGGCGTGACAGCTTTAGCTCAGTTCTATGCTCTATACTCTCATAGAGCACGCTCTTTCAACCAATGACAGCGCGCGTTATATCCGAACTTTATTATAATGTTTTATGGCCATGTGATTTTGAATGTGACATTTCCACATCAGCGTGTTCTTGAGCTTTTGTAAAGCCGGAAGTGATACTTCTCTACTGGAGCAGATAACTTCAGACACGTATTTCTCCAGAACTTCGTCAGGTATCCGCTTTTAGTCGTATTTTTAAGCTCTGTAGGATTTTTTTCTAATGTGGAGTGCTTCGGATTTATTTTTAGGATGCGCAACGCTTAATGTCTTAACTTTACTGAATTCGTTTTATTCAAAAGGCTTACGTAGGTTAACATTGTTTCGTGCTTATTATAGCAGAATATAATTTTTGCGTGAAAAACAAAAAATTGTTGAGTACATAACCATTACCTCCTCCTGAGAATATTAGTAAAGAAAGCACCAAAAATTGGAATAAATCTCCCCTAACCTGGGATAGCTCTTTTTTTAATGTCGATGAAATACCGGATAGAGTATTTTCTCTATTATTTCTAATAATTTATCCATCTAAGAGTCTTTTAATTCTGTTCCCTTCGAGTACTTGTCATTATTTACTCTATCGGGGTCTTTTTTCCTGCAAGAAAAAAATTGAAATAACCCAATTTATCATTACCTCAATTAACATTTTGGATATAAAGCAAACACAATTACACCAAGCACCATATATATAAATAATTGGCTATTACTTGTATCTCATTGGTAGAGAGGCATCTGTGAGATTCTATACTTTACACCAGAGAGCGGAGATAGTAACTCTTCAAAAAGGAAAAAAAGTGTGTGTGTATATATATATATATACATATATATATTTATATTTATGTACATATATATATATATATATATATATAGATATAGATAGATAGATATCAAACTAGCCTTGATGTTCAAGGTAACAAAGGATCCCCATCCAATCAACAACCAGTAAGTCATAACTATTTTCACGTCTAATCTAACTTTAATTTAAGAAATACCTGTTCTCACTGAGTCTTGCCGCTGCGTGTCAAAGTCGAGTCTCACATCATCTCCAATCAGCGTAAACGAAGCCCACTCAGACATTTTGTTCAAGCCGTTTTTTCTCATCCACTTCATGGCATGATGAAGGGATTCACTGGCACTTCCACCTTCAATGAGGTGTTCGTAGAACCGACTCATCAGCTGCTCTGTTGCTGAGTCTGGAATGGCCCACAGCGCAACCAACACCGAGCGAGCACCGGATCCTAAGAACGCACGGGCAATTCCTATAACTCCCTCGGCTCTTATCTCTCCACTTCCACTGTGACAGCAGCTAAGTACCACCAGTTTAGCTCTGACTTTCACTCGTGAGACATCAGCCATCGTCAACATGTAAGCTTCCTTCGGGATAGCGTTTTGACTGTTGGGTGTAGGAATGGGGGAGAGTGCAATTTCTCCTCTTTCCGCGTTACCATGGGCAGCAAAATGTATCAAGCTCACTGAACTTATCCGCTCAAGTACCGCCTGCTTCGTTGCTTTCTCTTCAACTAGAGGCGGAACACCCACCAGTCGTCCGACCATCTCCGCTTCCTTTCTTGCAGCTGGCAATGGTTGCAGCCAATTAACCTTGGGATTGCCTATTACCAAGGCACCAGTGTTGCTGTGATAGTCCTCTGGACTATCTTGAATGTACTTGAGTGTTGTCAACGAAGGAATGATACGGATCTTATGGGTCTCTGACAAGTATTCGGCTCCTTCCTTTTCACTCAGGGCAGCAAAAGGAACTTTGTATAACCTGCGGTCAGGAACAATAATGACTTCAGGCTCATCAAGCAAATCATAAACGGGGGCAATGAACATTTTGTAACATAAATGTAGACTTGAAATCACTTTCTCGTCCTCGTCCTCGTCCTCGTCCTCGTCCTCCTCCACGAGTCGTAATCTTGCTGAGCTCTTTTGCGCGGGGGAGAGAGGTTGCAATTTAATCGTATTTAAAGACCGATCTTCACAATCTTTAGGGGGCAAAATACCAAGACTCCGGAAATTATCATCCAAAAATTGACTCAAATGCAAATCTTTGGGTAACCCAGCCTGAACTAGATTCTCTTCTGGTGATACTCTTCTATAGTGAAGGACTCCACTTGTTTTCAAGATCCACAAATGCAGACTATTCTGAAAATAAGAAATGTACAGACAAGTACAGTTTTTTTGCTTTCTTAAAATGTTCTCAATGCCAAACCAAGATTGTGGATTAGCAGAGATGTGCGTTTCAACCGAGTACTTCTCTGCCATTAAGTCTGATAGGCCTCTAGCTCGACCCAACTCCTCAACATAAATAGCATCCCGAGCATTTCCGGTGGCACAAAGCAAAGTACAAAGCAGTTTGTAAGGAAATATTCCTGTGCCCTCCAGTAACGATGTTTTGAACTGATCATTGGCGCCCAAGAAATATCTCAGCTCCTCATACTTTTCAATGCACAGATGAAGACACGACATCGAGTCTTTGATTTTATATTGGTAAAGATACAAAACGGCGTAATTTACGAGGATTTCGAACTCTTTTCTTCCATTTCCAATATCTCTGGATATGAATAAAGCTTTCTCCAAGCATACTTCCGAAGCTTCAAAATCACGAACACTTCTAAACACAGCGGTACCTAGGTTTCCATAACATGTTGCCTCCCCTTCTCTGTAGCCAATTTCAGTAGTGATGACAAGCGCTTTTTGGAGATACTCTTTAGCCTTGTCGTATTGGCCAACGGACATAAACACAGTACCTAGGCTTCCATAGTTATCTGCCTCCCCTCTTCTGTTGCCAATTTCAGTTGTGATGACAAGCGCTTTTTGGAGATACTCTTCAGCCTTGTCGTATTGGCCAAGCGACTTAAACACAGTACCGAGGTTTCCATAGTTAGCTGCCTCCCCTTTTCTGTCGCCAATTTCAGTTGTGATGACAAGCGCTTTTTGGAGATACTCTTCAGCCTTGTCGTATTGGCCAACAGTTTTAAACACAGTACCTAGGTTTCCATAACATGATGCCTCCCCTTCTCTGTCGCCAATTTCAGTTGTGATGACAAGTGCTTTTTGGAGATACTCTTCAGCCTTGTCGTATTGGCCAACGGACAGAAACACACTACCTAGGTTTTCATAACATGATGCTTCCCCTTCTCTGTCGCCAATATCAGTTATGATGACAAGCGCTTTTTGGAGATACTCTTTAGCCTTGTCGTATTGGCCAACGGACATAAACACACTACCTAGGCTTCCATAGTTAGCTGCCTCCCCTCTTCTGTCGCCAATTTCAGTTGTGATGACAAGCGCTTTTTGGAGATACTCTTTAGCCTTGTCGTATTGGCCAACGGACATAAACACAGTACCGAGGTTTCCATAGTTAGCTGCCTCCCCTTTTCTGTCGCCAATTTCAGTTGTGATGACAAGCGCTTTTTGGAGATACTCTTCAGCCTTGTCGTATTGGCCAACTGACAGAAACACACTACCTAGGCTTCCATAGTTAGCTGCCTCCCCTTCTCTGTGGCCAATTTCAGTTGTGATGACAAGCGCTTTTTGGAGATACTCTTTAGCCTTGTCGTATTGGCCAACGGACAGAAACACACTACCTAGGTTTCCATAGTGAGCCGCCTCCCCTTCTCTGTCCCCAATTTCAGTTCTGATGACAAGCGCTTTTTGGAGATACTCTTTAGCCTTGTCGTATTGGCCAACTGACAGAAACACACTACCTAGGTTTCCATAGGTAGCTGCCTCCCCTCTTCTGTCGCCAATTTCAGCTGTGATGACAAGCGCTTTTTGGAGATACTCTTCAGCCTTGTCGTATTGGCCAAGCGACTTAAACACAGTACCGAGGTTTCCATAGTTAGCTGCCTCCCCTTTTCTGTCGCCAATTTCAGTTGTGATGACAAGCACTTTTTGGAGATACTCTTCAGCCTTGTCGTATTGGCCAAGCGACTTAAACACAGTACCGAGGTTTCCATAGTTAGCTGCCTCCCCTTTTCTGTCGCCAATTTCAGCTGTGATGACAAGCGCTTTTTGGAGATACTCTTCAGCCTTGTCGTATTGGCCAAGCGACTTAAACACAGTACCGAGGTTTCCATAGTTAGCTGCCTCCCCTTTTCTGACGCCAATTTCAGTTCTGATGACAAGCGCTTTTTGGAGATACTCTTTAGCCTTGTCGTATTGGCCAACTGACAGAAACACACTACCTAGGTTTCCATAACATGATGCTTCCCCTTCTCTGTCGCCAATATCAGTTGTGATGACAAGCGCTTTTTGGAGATACTCTTCAGCCTTGTCGTATTGGCCAACGGACATAAACACAGTACCTAGGTTTTCATAACATGATGCTTCCCCTTTTCTGTCGCCAATATCAGTTCTGATGACAAGCGCTTTTTGGAGATACTCTTTAGCCTTGTCGTATTGGCCAACGGACATAAACACAGTACCTAGGCTTCCATAGTTAGCTGCCTCCCCTCTTCTGTCGCCAATTTCAGTTGTGATGACAAGCGCTTTTTGGAGATACTCTTTAGCCTTGTCGTATTGGCCAACGGACGTAAACACAGTACCGAGGTTTCCATAGTTAGCTGCCTCCCCTTTTCTGTCGCCAATTTCAGTTGTGATGACAAGCGCTTTTTGGAGATACTCTTCAGCCTTGTCGTATTGGCCAACGGACATAAACACAGTACCTAGGCTTCCATAGTTAGCTGCCTCCCCTTCTCTGTCGCCAATTTCAGTTGTGATGACAAGCGCTTTTTGGAGATACTCTTTAGCCTTGTCGTATTGGCCAACGGACGTAAACACAGTACCGAGGTTTCCATAGTTAGCTGCCTCCCCTTTTCTGTCGCCAATTTCAGTTGTGATGACAAGCGCTTTTTGAAGATTCTCTTCAGCCTTGTCGTATTGGCCAACGGACATAAACACAGTACCTAGGCTTCCATAGTTAGCTGCCTCCCCTTCTCTGTGGCCAATTTCAGTTGTGATGACAAGCGCTTTTTGGAGATACTCTTTAGCCTTGTCGTATTGGCCAACGGACAGAAACACACTACCTAGGTTTCCATAGTGAGCCGCCTCCCCTTCTCTGTTGCCAATTTCAGTTCTGATGACAAGCGCTTTTTGGAGATACTCTTTAGCCTTGTCGTATTGGCCAACTGACAGAAACACACTACCTAGGTTTCCATAGCTAGCTGCCTCCCCTCTTCTGTCGCCAATTTCAGCTGTGATGACAAGCGCTTTTTGGAGATACTCTTCAGCCTTGTCGTATTGGCCAAGCGACTTAAACACAGTACCGAGGTTTCCATAGTTAGCTGCCTCCCCTTTTCTGTCGCCAATTTCAGTTGTGATGACAAGCGCTTTTTGGAGATACTCTTCAGCCTTGTCGTATTGGCCAAGCGACCTAAACACAGTACCTAGGCTTCCATACCATGATGCTTCTCCGCTTCTGTCGCCAATTTTGATTGTTATGGCAAGCGCTTTTTGGAGATACTCTTTAGCCTTGTCGTATTGGCCAACGGACTTAAACGCAGTACCGAGGTTTCCATAGTTAGCTGCCTCCCCTTTTCTGTGGCCAATTTCAGTTGTGATGACAAGCGCTTTTTGGAGATACTCTTTAGTTTTGTCGTATTGGCCAACAGTTTTAAACACAGTACCTAGGTTTCCATAACATGATGCCTCCCCTTCTCTATCGCCAATTTCAGTTGTGATGACAAGCGCTTTTTGGAGATACTCTTCAGCCTTGTCGTATTGGCCAACGGACAGAAACACACTACCTAGGTTTTCATAACATAATGCTTCTCCCCTTCTGTCGCCAATAACAGTTGTGATGACAAGCGCTTTTTGGAGATACTCTTCAGCCTTGTCGTATTGGCCAACGGACAGAAACAAACTACCTAGGTTTCCATAACATGATGCTTCCCCTTCCCTGTCGCCAATATCAGTTCTGATGACAAGCGCTTTTTGGAGATACTCTTTAGCCTTGTCGTATTGGCCAACGGACATAAACACAGTACCGAGGTTTCCATAGTTAGCTGCTTCCCCTTTTCTGTTGCCAATTTCAGTTGTGATGACAAGCGCTTTTTGGAGATACTCTTTAGCCTTGTCGTATTGGCCAACTGACAGAAACACACTACCTAGGTTTCCATAACATGATGCTTCCCCTTCTCTGTCGCCAATATCAGTTCTGATGACAAGCGCTTTTTGGAGATACTCTTCAGCCTTGTCGTATTGGCCAACGGACAGAAACACAGTACTTAGGTTTCCATAACATGATGCTTCTCCGCTTCTGTCGCCAATATCAGTTGTGATGACAAGCGCTTTTTGGAGATACGCTTCAGCCTTGTCGTATTGGCCAACGGACATAAACACAGTACCTAGGCTTCCATAGTTAGCTGCCTCCCCTCTTCTGTCGCCAATTTCAGTTGTGATGACAAGCGCTTTTTGGAGATACTCTTCAGCCTTGTCGTATTGGCCAAGCGACTTAAACACAGTACCTAGGTTTCCATAACATGATGCTTCTCCGCTTCTGTCGCCAATTTTGGTTGTTATGGCAAGCGCTTTTTGGAGATACTCTTTAGCCTTGTCGTATTGGCCAGCGGACATAAACACAGTACCGAGGTTTCCATAGTTAGCTGCCTCCCCTTTTCTGTCGCCAATTTCAGTTGTGATGACAAGCGCTTTTTGGAGATACTCTTTAGCCTTGTCGTATTGGCCAACAGTTTTAAACACAGTACCCAGGTTTCCATAACATGATGCCTCCCCTTTTCTGTCGCCAATTTCAGTTGTGATGACAAGCGCTTTTTGGAGATACTCTTCAGCCTTGTCGTATTGGCCAACGGACATAAACACAGTACCTAGGTTTTCATAACATGATGCTTCCCCTTCTCTGTCGCCAATATCAGTTCTGATGACAAGCGCTTTTTGGAGATACTCTTTAGCCTTGTCGTATTGGCCAACGGACATAAACACAGTACCTAGGCTTCCAAAGTTAGCTGCCTCCCCTCTTCTGTCGCCAATTTCAGTTGTGATGACAAGCGCTTTTTGGAGATACTCTTTAGCCTTGTCGTATTGGCCAACGGACATAAACACAGTACCGAGGTTTCCATAGTTAGCTGCCTCCCCTTTTCTGTGGCCAATTTCAGTTGTGATGACAAGCGCTTTTTGGAGATACTCTTCAGCCTTGTCGTATTGGCCAACGGACATAAACACAGTACCTAGGCTTCTATAGTTAGCTGCCTCCCCTCTTCTGTCGCCAATTTCAGTTGTGATGACAAGCGCTTTTTGGAGATACTCTTTAGCCTTGTCGTATTGGCCAACGGACAGAAACACACTACCTAGGTTTCCATAGTGAGCCGCCTCCCCTTCTCTGTCGCCAATTTCAGTTCTGATGACAAGCGCTTTTTGGAGATACTCTTTAGCCTTGTCGTATTGGCTAACTGACAGAAACACACTACCTAGGTTTCCATAGGTAGCTGCCTCCCCTCTTCTGTCGCCAATTTCAGCTGTGATGACAAGCGCTTTTTGGAGATACTCTTCAGCCTTGTCGTATTGGCCAAGCGACTTAAACACAGTACCGAGGTTTCCATAGTTAGCTGCCTCCCCTTTTCTGTCGCCAATTTCAGTTGTGATGACAAGCGCTTTTTGGAGATACTCTTGAGCCTTGTCGTATTGGCCAAGCGACTTAAACACAGTACCTAGGTTTCCATAAGATGATGCTTCTCCGCTTCTATCGCCAATTTTGGTTGTTATGGCAAGCGCTTTTTGGAGATACTCTTTAGCCTTGTCGTATTGGCCAATGGACATAAACACAGTACCGAGGTTTCCATAGTTAGCTGCCTCCCCTTTTCTGACGCCAATTTCAGTTCTGATGACAAGCGCTTTTTGGAGATACTCTTTAGCCTTGTCGTATTGGCCAACTGACAGAAACACACTACCTAGGTTTCCATAACATGATGCTTCCCCTTCTCTGTCGCCAATTTCAGTTGTGATGACAAGCGCTTTTTGGAGATACTCTTCAGCCTTGTCGTATTGGCCAACGGACAGAAACACACTACCTAGGTTTTCATAACATGATGCTTCCCCTTCTCTGTCGCCAATATCAGTTCTGATGACAAGCGCTTTTTGGAGATACTCTTTAGCCTTGTCGTATTGGCCAACGGACGTAAACACAGTACCGAGATTTCCATAGTTAGCTGCCTCCCCTTTTCTGTCGCCAATTTCAGTTGTGATGACAAGCGCTTTTTTGAGATACTCTTCAGCCTTGTCGTATTGGCCAACGGACATAAACACAGTACCTAGGCTTCCATAGTTAGCTGCCTCCCCTCTTCTGTCGCCAATTTCAGTTGTGATGACAAGCGCTTTTTGGAGATACTCTTCAGCCTTGTCGTATTGGCCAACGGACATAAACACAGTACCTAGGCTTCCATAGTTAGCTGCCTCCCCTCTTCTGTCGCCAATTTCAGTTGTGATGACAAGCGCTTTTTGGAGATACTCTTTAGCCTTGTCGTATTGGCCAACGGACAGAAACACACTACCTAGGTTTCCATAGTGAGCCGCCTCCCCTCCTCTGTCGCCAATTTCAGTTTTGATGACAAGCGCTTTTTGGAGATACTCTTTAGCCTTGTCGTATTGGCCAACTGACAGAAACACAATACCTAGGTTTCCATAGCTAGCTGCCTCCCCTCTTCTGTCGCCAATCTCAGCTGTGATGACAAGCGCTTTTTGGAGATACTCTTCAGCCTTGTCGTATTGGCCAAGCGACTTAAACACAGTACCGAGGTTTCCATAGTTAGCTACTTCCCCTTTTCTGTCGCCAATTTCAGCTGTGATGACAAGCGCTTTTTGGAGATACTCTTTAGCCTTGTCGTATTGGCCAAGCGACTTAAACACAGTACCTAGGTTTCCATAACATGATGCTTCTCCGCTTCTGTCGCCAATTTTGGTTGTTATGGCAAGCGCTTTTTGGAGATACTCTTTAGCCTTGTCGTATTGGCCAGCGGACATAAACACAGTACCGAGGTTTCCATAGTTAGCTGCCTCCCCTTTTCTGTCGCCAATTTCAGTTCTGATGACAAGCGCTTTTTGGAGATACTCTTTAGCCTTGTCGTATTGGCCAACAGTTTTAAACACAGTACCTAGGTTTCCATAACATGATGCCTCCCCTTCTCTGTCGCCAATTTCAGTTGTGATGACAAGCGCTTTTTGGAGATACTCTTCAGCCTTGTCGTATTGGCCAACGGACAGAAACACACTACCTAGGTTTTCATAACATGATGCTTCTCCGCTTCTGTCGCCAATATCAGTTGTGATGACAAGCGCTTTTTGGAGATACTCTTTAGCCTTGTCGTATTTGCCAACGGACAGAAACACACTACCTAGGTTTCCATAACATGATGCTTCCCCTTCTCTGTCGCCAATATCAGTTCTGATGACAAGCGCTTTTTGGAGATACTCTTTAGCCTTGTCGTATTGGCCAACGGACATAAACACAGTACCGAGGCTTCCATAGTTAGCTGCCTCCCCTTTTCTGTCGCCAATTTCAGTTGTGATGACAAGTGCTTTTTGGAGATACTCTTCAGCCTTGTCGTATTGGCCAGGCGACTTAAACACAGTACCTAGGTTTCCATAACATGATGCTTCTCCGCTTCTGTCGCCAATTTTGGTTGTTATGGCAAGGGCCTTCTCAACATATTCCTTTGCCTTTAGGCTTTCGCCAAGTTTATAAAGCATAATTCCATACTCTCTGTATAAGTAAAACAGTTTCCTCCCGTATCTTTCTGCACTTATGTAGTCAGAAATATGACGATACGCGCTGAAAAGAATGGTACAGATGTCGCTGTAAAATTGTAGCAGTGCCGAATCAAATTGGTCTTTGCTGTTTTGATCGGTGCAAGTTAGCAAAATCAAACATTCGCTGCATATCTCAATGGCTTTCTGAATGCGATCTGAGTTGAGCAAGAACAGGGCAACAAGTAAAGCGATGCTCATGAAAGGTGTCATGGCTTCTGCTGTTAGGTTTCCACTGCAATCCTCTCCTGTTATCAGGGAAACATTATTTTTCTTAACACAACACTAAAAAAAAAAAAAAAAAAAAAAATGAAAACGGGCGGAGTGGATCGGTAATTTGCTCGAACATTACCACATCACTGGTCTTACCTTTGAAGGGGTTAATCCAGTGACTGAAATATGGCAACAAGCAAATGACATCAGAGATAAGAGGTGGCTTGACTTTCAGTAATAATCAATAGTCATACTTAATAGTACTTCATATTTCTTTTGAGGAAGGGAGAGGTGGGGGATGAATTTCGGTTTTGTACGTCACACTTTTGTGACCAATGATAGAATTGAACATGTAAAAATAAACTATTTATTAACAGGAAACGTCAGGCTTCTGTGTCCATCTATTTCGAAAATTGAAATTTCATTACAAGATCGATGCCAACAGAACCAAAGCTTCTTTCTTTAAACGGTAAGCTATCTGTGAGCGATAATCAACTTTTCATGAAATGATATGGAAAACCGATCCGTAGTTTACTCCGCAGTGAATCTATTTCGGTTTTGTACGTCACATTTTTATAACTTCAAATCGACCATCTTTCGTTCCCCATACAATTCCTTATGACGTGTTCAACTCTGGTAAGTTAACACCGAGTCACACAACGCGTGACGCTTTCATGAATTAATCGTTTGCTTTTTCTCGAGTGTGAGCTTGGGCCGCCTCTGTTGACATCAGTAAAGGACATTCTGCATGACAAATATGTCTTAATATAGGATTGATTTTAGTTTTTGATCACGTGATTGTGGGAACCATCAGTTTCTCAAACTAAACAATGCTGAACAATCTTAGTTACATTCTGGTTGAAATTTATTGTATGAAACCTTAACTGTTTTAAGAAAGCCATTTAACGGTAGAGATATGAAGCATCCGATCAACGGAAAAGTACGCCTATACTACGTATGCAGTAACATTGAATTTAAGAAAGTCTTAGTTTCTCTCAGAAAATTAAAACATCTCTCTTCGTGAGCGCGCAGCGTCATGACTTATCTTCTTGTGCGAGGCTCTAGCGCTTGAGCAGACAAAAAAACAGATTACGGCGTTTAGAAAAATATGTAGCGTAGAACCCGCTGCTAGTATCTAAAAATTTAAGTGAATGGTTTCTCGACCATGAAACGTTTGTGTACAAGTAGAAAACGGAAATTCAATTGGAATCTACCGCGATCTCTGAATCGATCGTTAAACTCTCCTAAAAAAGCCTCATAGCCTCTGGAAAACCACGTAATGAAGCACTACGGATTTCCTATGATGTCAGCGTGGGACAGTCTAGTTTTATGATCATCAATTTCTCAAATTGAACGATACTCAATAACCTTGTTTTAGTTAATGAGGATAAATTATACGGTATAGAGCCACAGAGATTTAAAAAAGTCGCCGTAGAATCAATTTATTTCACTGTGGTGACGATTCAATCGCGCCATCAACCGCTTTAACGAAGGGCTAACACTCGAAACGTAACATATCGCAAACATAAAGATCAGGTACTGGATAAAGTAAATAATAAAGGGATAAAGCAGCTACTGGGCTTTGCCATAAGAGCCTTACCTCTCTACAGTTACTAAATGACTAAGGCTGATAAAAACCGAGTGACTAGAAAAGATTTTCAATCGCACTTACCAAGATGTTGACAATGTGGCTGATGCTTTCAAAATGAAACAACAAAAATAACGAATTACTTTTCCCAACCTTCCGAACTTCCGCTGTCACATTGTTTAATGTATCCAGATCACGTGTGTTCAGGGTATTCCCTTCCCCCTCGGGGCTAATCGAAATAAAAGGAAAAGTTTTAAATTGCATATTTTTTTGTGTGCCCGTATGCCCGTCTATCGCGTCCCATTTAGGTTAAAAATTTTTAACAGTTAGTGGTCATATGATAACATGCTTATTGACAGAATTTGGTGGGACCAGTGGGGAAAATATTAAGCTCAGGGTTATGAAGAAAGGACCTCGCTGCGCCCCCTACCACTCAATAAGTACACAGTATTTCGTTTTCGTACGTCACACTTTTATCAGTCATGATGTAATTGAACATGGAAAATGAAAAGTGTTATTCTTTTTCCAACAGGAAATGTCAGGCTTCAGTGTTTACCCCTTTGAGAGGTTTGATTTTCATCACAAGATCAATCACAGTACAACCTAAGTCCCTTCTTTTTAACGCTAAGCTATCTTTGCGTGATAATAAACTCATTGTCTTCGTGAACTTTTCATTTTCTAGCGGGTGTGATTTGCATGATCGAAGCCAAAACTACTAAAAAAACCAAGTGACTGTAATTCGGTTTTTGCAAGTCACACTTTTATAACTAATGATGGTTATAAAATAATTGAGATAGTTCGTTTGCTCTCAATAGGCCAACTAGTTAGTTTAGATGAGAGTATGTAAACACAGCTTGTTTGGACGTCACACTTTTAATGTTTGCCGGCGCAATTTGAAAACATTTCAAACTCAAAGTTTTCCCAATACCCGCACAGTAATCTCAAGTGTAAGTGATAAATATTGGAATTGGAGAAGTATGTGCCAATTTTTGATCTAGGGTTTGACTTCCATCCCTTCCCCAGTGAGGAACAAGAAGGAGGAAAAAGAGGAACTAGAACTCTTTTGCTTGCCTTGATGACCATGAACTGTGTGGCCTAGTCGAGGGAGTTCAAGTAGACGATAAATATGCAAAAAAATGCGCAGAAAACATCGAAATGTAAGGAAACAAGGAAAAATTCTGGAAAAAAACATTTTGTTCTTCGCGCCCTACTTTCAAAGAAACACTTGGAAAACTGTATATCACTGAAAAGCTTATAAAGTATCGAAGAAAGTTTTAAAAGTTTGTTTTTTTCCCAGCAAATTTAATTTCAATGTTTTCTCTAAAAAAAGAGTAAATAAAATAGAAGTTTGAAATTTGACCAGATCTTGTTGACAGTAACCTCAAATCAAAACTCACAATTCAAGGCAGTAACAAAACAGTTTTTTTGTTATTGCCTTCGCTACATTACAAAACTGAAGGAACCGTTTGTTCGTTGCGGCTGAACGAAAACAAAAATCATGCTGCCTAGGTCTCGAAGGCAGGGTAATTAGTTTATTTTTCAAAAATGACATTTAGTTGCCCTTTTGCTGTGCCCTGAGCAAACGCTGGTCCCTCGTAAAAATGCCGAATTAATCAAGTCGATTTTGAAATTAACGCAGGGGTCATATCATCGAAAGAACTCGGTGACACTGATTGCAAAATGAGAAACTTTCAAAGTGTGGCTGCATTTTTCAAGATAAACAAACAGTGACGTGGCTTGATTAAATTTCCTGAACTTAAGAGTCGTCAGATATATTGACAACTGACATACTTAGACGTTAAGTCAAGTACATATGTATTCAAATTGGGGAAACTTTGTGTAAATATTGTTTGAAAGGGAAGGTAATTGATTAATTACCAAAATTACCGACCAATTGCCTAAATTTAGATAGATTTTGCTTTTTGGAAGTTTCTCAGATATCACTGGCTAATTTTCAGCTGGTTAAGATGTCACTTTTTTACCTATGTATTTTCTACCCTTCTTTAACTTCATTCGCTTGCAGTTTATCACTTCTCTTTGTCGGAATAGTGGTTAAGATATCCGTGCTTATCTGTTCAAGTTACCAAATTTTCCAGCTTTTGCATGATTCAATTCTGATCTATTCAGATTCACTGTAAAAAGGAAATAAACAACTGGTTTCCTTGGTTTCCCATCCTGTTATCACCGAAAACTTTCCACTTGAATATTCTCTTCGCATATCTTTTTTTTCCTCTAGTTGCTGCTTCCTGTTCTCTGTTTTTGCACTTAGCTTGTTTTGAAGCCAAAACAAAGGTAAAAATACAAAATATACCACTGAAAGATATTGACAACGTAAGCAATTAGAAAAAAGGCTCTAAAATGGCAAATTACGAAAATACGCGGTCATTCAAGACTGCTGTTTCTCAGTGAAGGCGAGGCCCCTCTTTGATGAGGAAAATGGCTGTTGTTCAGTTGTGTATTTTAGCGCTGTTTGTGGCTTCCACAAAGAGTAGTAGTATGTATTACATGTATTCCAACATGATCATACTCGATGGCAAAAGAAATTACTATGTTTTCTACCACTACAATGAGTCCGCGGACACACTGGAGTTTATGGTGCAAATCAGTTTAAGTTGGTTTCGGTGTTGCTGAAGTAGCATCAAATAAATATATGTTATTTGCCAGCCCACGGCCTCGGGCAGACTGACTTAGACTGGTGAATAACATCTTTATTTTTTCCTTAAACTGAACTAAATTCCTTCCAAAACATCCCGAATGATTTAGGGCTGTAATTACAGCACATATCAAACTTTGGGTTGGGATTTTGCTAACAATGGCACGATTTTTTTTATCCTTTTATGGGCATTGTCATTGTTGACAGCTTTGAGGCTCTTTTGTTATAAGAACAAAGGTTTGAAAGAACCGACGCGTATCCGATTTCCGAGCGCGAGATTCAAAAACTTTGTTAATGATCTGAATGAGACAAAATCTTTCTTTCTCGGGGTGGGCTTAGGGAGAAGTTGTCTAGAGCAACGGCAAACCTGCCGGGGGACGGAAGGGTAAATTTGTTACATGGAGAGCGGGCTGTCGGCTGTGTAAAGTTCTCTCCTTTTCCCCGCAAATAAACGCAGAATTTCGAGGTAGAGAAAGGACGACAGTTTGTATCTTAAAATACGAATGGAATATGCTACACAACTATCGTAAAAGAAATCGAAACTGAAGCGAAGGTACA